GTACAATAAGTCTACACCATTGACGGTTTACAAGAAGGCACGAAAATAAGGTTTTATAACTAGTTCGAAAATTATTATAATTAGGTCGAAAATTATTAAATATTTCAATCAGGCATTCGTTCGGTAACATCATTTTGAAAGAACTATTAATTTAGTATAACAGTAAAACTTGAATCGAATTTTATATCGATACTTGTATAACCAATGTAAAATGCTGTGGAACGTACGTTGGCATTTGTCACCTGATGAAAATTTATTTTAATTGGTAGTTTGCTTACATGATTCTTGACAAATTATCAAGGGAATATATACATAAAGTGATAATTATAATATAAATGATATAAACATTTCAAATTTTAGGCTAAAATAGTGTAATAAGGTTATTTGGAGTGACATTAAATTTTATAAAATTATATATTTATTAACAAAATTTTATACCAAATAAGCGCGAAATAACTCTCGTGGGCATTATTTTGAAAATTATGAAATTTCATAATTAGCATAGGTGTTGTCGAATTAGTGCCCATGGGCGTCCAGAGCTAACGTGCATTACAATAGAATTAGTGATAATATCCAGTCTGTAATGCGGTTAGCCGGGTAGATGTATCAGGAATTTCACGTTTTAATCTAAATATATAAAGGAAATCAAAATAACGTACATGGCATATCGAAATAGCGCAGGTGGCGTTATTTCGCGCTTACATAGTAAAAAGAAAAAAAAAGAATTGTTGGTTTTAAAACTGTATTATACGCAAAATATATTACCTTAGTAAAATATATATATATATATATTAAGTTTACTATATACTAAACGCTTAAATTCTTTTTTTACTATAATAAATCTATTTTTACCGAGATAATCTATCTTCACCTAAGTAGACTTGTTTGACACAACAGTTTAAATACATATAGTGCTAGAAAAAAATATTAATAAAATATGTTCAAACCAGAGTTACAAACATGAATGCTTTTACCTGTAGAACTAAACTTAAAAGTTTAAAAAAATACCAACAATCATTGAGCAAAAGACATATTATTTGCTAAATCCTAAAAAATAATATTGATGCATATAAATATGTAAATGATCCATAATTTTATTTGAATGTTGACTACCTGTTAAATACAGAATCACCAAAGATTAGAGTATTTTCATCAAAGTGTGAATGAAGAATCAAATTGTAATACGCAACAACAATGCAGTTTTAAATACATAAATGTACAGAATCCAATCACCATTTATTTTACGCGAGCTTTATCTTCAAAACCTTTATCACTTATCCTTCTTTACTGCTATATTATTGCTTGAATCTTATCCACAAATTAAATTTTAAGTACATCGATTGCCTATTAATCACTGGCCTTATCTACATATCTTTACCTCCTCTTTGGCCGATCAAATTGCATGCTGAGCTTTGTCTCTAATATATTTATTGATATATTTTAATATTAGGATTATTAGATGTTAATTTGAAATTAATTCCGTTATCATAAATATACAATTTATTCAGGGTACTGTTCATACAAAATGCATCTTCTAATGCTTTTCCTGCTTCTGTATGTATCGGCGCCAAGAGCCGCAACGTAGTATGTATCTTCATAAATAAAGTTGATCCGAGCGAGAATAATTAATAATTTTGATGAGTTAATACATGTAATTCTTATTTAACGATAGTCATGAAATATTATTCTTTAGATAAATTTTGATTTTGAAAATACATGATTTGTGGAACATTGTTCTAGAAAATAAATTTATTTATTTAAAATATAATAAAGTAAAATTGCACAAAATAAATTTTATTCCGCATAGTAAACTAATTTCCGTAAGTATATTATTAATTAAAAATGTAATCCGCAATTAATATCTGATATACTTAATTACTAATTCCGCAATTTTTGTTTAAGTATTAAATATCGCATAAAAATTTAAAATCCAATTTTAAACACAAAAAAGTTTTAAAACATCGTGATCATTAAATCAAGTCATTAAACATAACGTCTACTTATATGTATATTAATTCATTAGTCTGAAATAAAAATCAGTAAAGACCAGTGATTTACAACACTGTAAATCAAGGTTCTAAATCTACACGATAAACCGAAGACAATAATTCACAAGTGATTATATTCAAGTTTTATCTTATCAATATTTAACGCATTTTTTGTAAAATACTTAGGCGAGACCAGCTTGATTTGGTGGTTTACTTTACACCCCTTTTTCAAAAGGGGGATGGAACGTAAATTTTATTAAATTTTTTTTTTCAATCGGAAATGTTCGGCTTGACCTTGCTCGTCTTTATGTTCGTTCATTTTCTCTTCGGAATTTTTCTAATCCTTACAATTTCTAATCTTAATTCCTCCCGACATTAGCTCTCCGGCCAAATCATATAGGCATATCCCAAAAATTTTGTTTACTAAGAGAGAGTAATGTAAACCACCAAATCAAATTGGTCTGGGCCTTAATATCAATAGTGAAAGGTTAATTGGTAAGATAAAAAAATGTAAATATAAATATCAAATATAAATCGTCATTGCTATTATATTTATCTGACACTTGAAATAAAATCAGGTTTCATTGTGAAGAAATCGCATTATTCATCTTTTCAAGAAACCCAAGATCAGGATGAAATTAATTCTGATCTAAGCGATGAATCTGAAAGCAGTCTGTCATTATTTTAAATCCTGATAATACTAATCAACTCGACTTTATTCGGTAATTATACGTATTGACCAATTAAAGTCGATACTTTTTGTATATTTCTTGGCAAGCCACTTGCACGTGCAAGATGCTAATTAAGGAAATTTGAAAGAATTTCTAAAAGCAAATCGAAATTTTACAAGACTAATTATAGAATAGTATGTACTGTGTATCGGTATTCATTGATGTTTAAACCAATCAGGTGGTCATGATAACTATAATCAACTACAATCCAAGCAATTGTTCTAGGTACGTACGTACGTACGTACGTATCTCCTGTATAATTACGTACAAATCAATTACATATGAGAATATTTACAAAAAAAAAACATAATAATAAATAGTGACATAGTAATGTATTATGAATTATCATACTGGTATAACTCAATTTTTATATACATTTTAATAATTACGTACGTACGTATGTGCGTGACAATATCTCGCAGATACGTACCTTATTTAAATAAAGCCGATTCGTGTCAATTAAGCAAATCGGTGAATTTTCAAATTTCATGCGCAGACTGCGCACGTACGTATGTACTGTAGTCCCCTTATTTAGAGGTCGGGCGAATTTTAAGTATTAATGATTTAATTGATTCTAAGATTAGGGTACGCTTCGTTAGGATAATGATCGGAGAGATTTTAGATTGTCTATTATTTTATATTTCGCTGCCTCAACACTCTTTACAATCGCTGCCGCGACACTTTTTACTGATGTCCCAAAGGTTAGATTACGTACCGTCTTTTTATTTGATTGGTCGATTATTATTCCGCTTTAGTTTATCCTTAATTTAGTATTTGATACCCGCATGTGGATTTCTCACTCCGATTAGATATCTGATGTACGTACGTACGTACGTACTTATGTATGAATCACCCCAACAAAAAAATTAATGAAACCATTCTTCGCATTTATTTCGGGATTTTATTTAAACTAAAAATGGGTGATTATTTTTAAATCAAGACCAAATATTTGGTCCGCGTTCAAAAATAATAAAAATTTGGGGGTTTATTGAAACTTTTTATCCTATTACTTATGATTAGAGTGTTCAGGATACTACTGCTCTAACTAAAATTCTGTCGCAATTATCGTCAAATGAGCAAATTCTGCGGTGACGTATAAATAATACTACAACAATAAGAAAACAATACTTTATTCTGCTCAAATTCTGCGCAGATTCTGCCACCGCAGTACACTCTACTTATGATACGTATTTGAAAATTATAATAGAAAACTCGTTTGCGCAGTAGTATATCCACCGGAGAATTTTTTCCATGGTTTTCTATATAAGAGCATCCATTTCATTCTGCTCTCAAAATCATACTTGAAAATATGTCAAATAACGCTCTTATTGAAAAAACAGAAGATTCATCCATGTCAACTTTAGTCGTCGATAAAGATGACTGGAAGTGGCCATGCTTTGATGAATGGTATGATGAACATTATGATAAAATGGAACGTAGGGTAAAAGTTGAAAGTATCAACATCATTCCCTTCGTTGTCATCTATCCACGTAATGGTAAACCGTACGTTGAAGTGAGTTCCCCGAAATTGATGAAAATCTTGCGAGATATCCTTCCAAATAAAAATACATTTGACGAAGTTGACGATGATAACCCCAAAGTATCAGTAAAAGCTCAAGAGTTATTTCATGTAATGGAAAAATTGAAAGATACTATTCGTAAGTAGTTTGATCTTGATCTTGTTGAAATTGTGATAATTTATAATTGCATCGAATAAAATAAATGGGTATTTAATCATTTATTAGAAAACACGACTGATCTGGAGAACGTTGTCAACTTAAAACGTCTGGTTCGGTTTCTTGAACAAGAATTTAAGCAAACTATAAAGGCTCGTGAAATAATGATTGCACATAAAAAAGTTTCGTATGATATGTTATGGGTGTTCTATACTGAAAAATTGGAAGTGTGGTAGTAAGTATTAAGTAAAACAAAAAATTGTTTAAGGAATCTCTTGATAATTTGTTAATTATGTGTTTGGTTTACAGTAGGTGCGAATTGTCTGGTCAGCAGATTGGAGGTATCATTTCCTCAGTAGAAGAGAAAGTATTACGTACTGGCAAAAAAATATTTAAGATATATATTAATATGATCAAATATGATGGCGTTGGATTTAAACGCTGCCAAATAGAACGCATTATCGAATATTTCAATGGTGATGTGAGCTTCTCTGATTTGCCTGTTGTTCCAATTAAACTTTCGACTGCCGAAGAGTTTCTCAAGGAAAGCATAATTGAAAATGGTAAACATTTCTTTAAGCTTACTCAAGGAAACAACTATATGAATTATGAAGGCCCATTATTGCGCGTGCGAAATATGTATATAGAGAAAATTAGAGCTGACGGTCGTGTCATGATTGACATTCAAAGTTTTTCAACTATGAATCCCGATTATCCAATGGGCAATGACAAACCGCCAAATAAATGTGATATTAAAATGTCTAAAGAAAAGGACTCTTATCTCAAAACTGATGATCTTGATAAAGATGAAAGCTATTTCCTCGCTCCTGCTGTAGTATATGGATTTAGTTTTACTATAAAAGAATGGGGCTTGTTTGAAGTCTCAAAATTTTCGGATATTATTTTTGATTCTGATGCTCTAGATCATATCGTAATGCCTCAAAATAAGAAAAATATGCTTGAAGGGTTGGTGAGTCAATATCGTGATCCAGCCCACACGATTAGTTGTAATGGACTTGTAAATGGTGTAAATGGTATAAATATGCCAGAGAAATCTTTAGATCCCATTACCAATAAGGGTAATGGATGTATTTTCTTATGCTATGGTCCACCTGGTACCGGAAAAACTTTGACAGCTCAAAGTGTAGCTGAGTATCTAAAACTACCATTATGGATACTCACAGTACGTGAACTTGGATCAACTCCTGAATCGTATTTATTATTTTACTTTAATCATTATAAAACTTATACTGTACTTAGTAATTTTGCTAATATTGCCACATTTATTCTTTTCTGTAATAGACTAGAAAGAGAGTTAGTCAAGGTTCTAGATATTGCTTATACATGGAAGGCTGTCATTTTACTCGATGAAGCCGATATTTACCTCGAAAAACGTAACACGGTTGATCTTGTTCGTAATACAATGGTTGGAATATTTTTGCGTTTGCTGGAGTACTATCAAGGTATGTAAATTTATTCTTATCAACTTAGTATTTGTTATTTATATAATTAGAACAATTTACTAATCTGTTAAATTCCTATTTTTGTCTTTTAGGTGTCATTTTCTTGACAACAAATCGGGTTATAACCTTTGATGATGCGGTATGTTCGCGAGTTAACATGTTTCTCCATTATCCCAAACTCGATCTTAATGGAAGACGTCAAATTTGGTCGAAATTTATCAAGCGTGCCGATTTGCCTCTCAATGCTGATGATTTTGCTGATTACGATTTGAATGGTCGTGAGATCCGTAATGTTCTTCACGCTGCAAGATTGTTGGCAAAGAATAAAGGTAAAACGTTGTCTGCAGAAAACGTAATTGATGTTATAAGCATTGTTCAAGAATTTAAGCAAGAAACTAGTGAAATGAGTGAAGAATAATTTTTAAGATAATTACAATCTTAATTACGTTTGTAGTAAATTTATGTTTGGACATTATTTAGTTTCATTCCGTCCATCATTATTATTAAATTATTGTGTCCTGTAAAAATCATTTCATTCACATGAAGACTTAAATCTCATGATGACATGATTGTTATGTTGATTAAAAAATGGACTTTTCTTGATCGCAATTTAGTCTATCTCTTTCAAATTATTATTGAATATTTTAATGAAATAATAATTCACCATACTTTTTATTAACGCCTGATCTATTACTTTGGCCGTGTAACTGTAGATCAGTTATATACAGTAAGACCTCTCTAAGTGCACACTCTATAAGTGCACGCACTATGTAAATTCTCTCAAGTTTATGATACATATGTTGTATCTGAAGTTGCCTCCTATTTAAAGTTGCAACTTTAGATATATCTAAAGTAGCACTTGATTAGAATTATATACATAATTTCAGAGGTTTAGTTAGGTGCTACTTTAGATATCTGAAGTTGCAACTTCAGATATGATATATATATTTTTTTGCAAAAATTGTAGTTGTATTAACAAAAAAAACTTTATTTACTTGTAATTGTTTAAGTAAAAAATTTTTTTACTTACACAGTTGCAAGTAATTTTTGTTTTGAATTTTAAACACTAATTGCAACAAAATGCATAATTGTATATGCTCTGATAACTTATGATCTTAATAAATGATGAACTAGATATTAACATAATACTAGCTTAAGACTATACTTTCAACATAGAATTTGATAA